GCAGGACCTTCCTCGGCACAAACGAGGGGTCCATGGCCTACATCTCCCTCTTGCCTCCTCCATTGTCATCCTCCTGCTGCAGCTGCTGCTGCTCCTCCCTTCCCTTTCCTTATGAACAACTTCTCACTGTCGTGCCCCGAGGCCAGTCGGAAGGCGGGCCGGGCACTTACGAGCGGGCGGGTGGTTTTCAAAATGTGGTTCTCGCCTTCGCGCCGCGCACTTTCTTTTTGAATATTTGCAGGAGCTTCACGGATTGAAGGCGGGTGGTTTTCAGAATGTGGCTCTCGCCTGGGCGCCGCACATTCGTTTTTAAACATGATTGACCCACGAAGCCGGAAATTGATCTACAACTGCGAGGCATGGAAACGTTCAAAGGACCTCAATTGGGCGATGGACAGTGGCAGTGCTGAAGATATCGATGGCGATGATATTGTGCCAGGGGCTGTGTTGTGCTACGTTTTTCGCTGCGCCGTACCACACAGTGACGTGCCAAGGGACGCGCCCACGGACATGCCACGGGACGCGCCAAGGGACATGCCAGGGGGCGCGCCGCGGAAAGTCCCAAGGGACGCGCCAGGGGACGTGCTATGGGGACGCACCGCGGGACGTGCCAAGAGGATTCGCTACGGAACGTGCCAGTCCACGGGACGTGCCAGGGGAGGCGCCACAGAACGTGCCAGGGAACTTGCTGGGCGACGCGCCAGGGGACGTACGAGGGGACGCGTCAGGGACCGTGCCACGGAACGCGAGACGCGCCAAGGGACGCGCCGCGGATCACCTGGAGCTTTTTAGGATCTTGTCGATGGGCTACGTCTAATGACGAACGTAACTACCACACCAGGCTGCGTTCCTACGAGGACGCGGCCCCGCGCGGCCAATTCTGCGGCTATATCGCAGCACTACAGCTGCAGCTCGGCGGCAATTTCGTCAACGAACAGCCCAACCCTTCGCGGCGGTGCGACGAGCCGCCCTGGCCAGAGGTGTTGGTAGCACCACGTGTACACAAGGTCATCTTCGACCAGTGCCGACTCGGGCTTCAAGATCATCGCGGGTTTTTTTTTGAGGAAGACCACCGGTCTGGTTTCCAGCGCTCCAGAAATCCTCGAGCAGATCGTGAACCTTAGGTGCACCAACGAGCGCACCCACGTGCGCGTCGATGGCCGCAACAGCGTCGACGCCCATATTTGGCCATGGAGGACGGCCGAGCGGCTAATCCAGGGCATCGTGGATCTACGCCGCCGCCTGAGACGCTCGCATCTCGCGAATTACGTTCGCGAATGCGACGTGGTAGCGGCAGCCTTCCCAGCAGTGGCCTGCGGGGACACGAAGGCACAAAGGGCGGAATCAGGAGCGCAATGGCCACCGAGCGTGCTCGCTACTCGTGCAGGGCGCGCAGGCGCAACACCCGAGCGGACTCGCCCGCGCACTCCAGAGATCTGGCCTCTTGCTGGCGTCCTCACACCGCCCCAATTCACGGGGGGTGCCCCGGCTGCCGCGCGGAGAAAGAAACGACCACCCTGCGCGCGCCCACGAGCTCAGCAACCGCAGGTTCGCAGGCCCGCATATTCGGCCGCGCCCGCGCGCCAGCCAACGTCCGCGAGCACCAGCGCGACCTGTAGAGCCACGTCATTTCAGCGCTCGGCGAGCTCAGGTACATGGCAGAGCCGATTTGGGAGCAGCAGACGAAGCTACGCCGCCACCAGCACCCGCCGATGCACCGGGAGCCAGCTCATCATCGTCGAGCGCTGCGGCTCAGGGTAGCAGTTCTGGTTCCGGCGATTGCGCTGCTAGACCAGGACTGCGAGCCGGCTCAGCTACAGGGGCAGCGCCGAGCCAGACAGCGCGACGACCTGCCGACACAGCGGTCGGCAAACCGACGCCATCCGACCGGACTCGCTTCGACATCGCCGCATCGCTGCGAGCACTGCGCGGCGACTCGCGCGAGACGCGCGCGCGAGAGCCACGCGGGCTACACCTCCAGTGGTGGCGCGCCACTAAGGAGAAAATGGCGCGGGTTCTACGACCAGCCAACGTGCCACAGGCAATCCTCGACCGCATTCACGCAGTGGTCGATGCTTGTAGCAGGTGTCGTACATGGCTACATGGCTACCACCAGCTCGTCATACTATCCCTGCTCCACGCCTTTCGACGAGCTTTAGCCGGCGCGTCGAATGCGACATCTTCTGTTGCAAGGACCGCGTGATCTCGCGCCTGACCTGCGGTGCTTCGAGGTGGCGCAGCGGCCGGGGGATCGCGAGCAATCGCGAGTCCCCGCTGCTGGCCGCCATAGACCGCCCGCTCGCAGATTCATTTGTTCGGCGCGATGGAGACTTTCATTGTGGGCGGCGAAGGCGGCGCGACCTCTGCGCACTTTGCGGCGGAGACGACGGGGCGAGGAGCGCCGGTTGACATCCGAGCTCGCGCCGACGCGCTCGTTTCGCAGAGCGACGCGGCGCTATCCCACGACGAGCACCGCGCGCAGCAGAGGAGCAGCTAGAGCGCGAAGACACCAGCCGATTTCGACTCCATGCCGGCCAGCGCGATCTTCGCGGGTAACAACCTCACCCACGTCGACGGCGTTGCGCCATGAACGTCGTCTTCGGCAGGCAGCCTTGTGCGCTGCCACCACTCGAATCTGATGAAGAGGGAGAGGCATCCAGCGCATGCGACGCCAGGGCCGGCCCTTCTGCTGGAGGGGAAGTGCAGCCCAGCCGACTGCAGTTGCGCATCCGAGAGATCGGGTTGCAACGAATGGTCGAGGCTACATCGATTTCCCGCGTCAGCCGCGCCCGCCGGACACGCGCCGCCGAATTCTGGGCGGGGCGCTTCGACGATGGCGACCAGGCGGAGATCCACCGGCCTCCGAGCGCGAAAGACGCGTCGGGCTGGGCGAGGCTGGGCGCGGTCATCTTTGCGGACCTGGCTCGGGGCAAAATCGCGGTCAAGTGCCGCCAAACCGAGGGCGTGCGCATGGCAGGGCGCACGTGCCTTCATCGGCGCAGTCTTCGACGACGCGGGCACCGCCATGGCGCGAGCTCGCCTGGCCCAGGATCGCGCGGAGGACTGCCCGGCATTGAGCAGGCGTCTGCTTGCGAGCTTGTCTAGAGGGCAGGGGGCGCAGGTCTCGGCCTCGTGGTGACATTCTAGAATTAGGAATATCGAGATTTTCGATGATGGGGGCACGGTGCCCGATGTGACGTCTTTTCGAAAGTCGGCGCATATTTGAAGCAATTGGTTTTCACGAGTGATCGTGTTGGTTTATGATGGCGTCGCTGTGCTATTGCTGGCCATGCTCGAGACTGCGTAACTCTCTACTTTGCGCGCCTGTCCTGCGCGTTGCCCTGGGCGCGTCCCGGCGCGCGCGCCGCCCTTCCATGGCCCGCCTGCGTTGCGTTTGAGCCACCGGGGGAGATTGTGGATGGGCGGGGGGGCGCGGGGCGGCCGAGAAAGCGAACGACGACGACGAGGCGTTTGGGTCGATGATGGGGGGGTCGCGCGCGGGCGCCGCGGCGGGCAGCCACAGAATGTTCAGTTCCTGTAGAGGCATCAGTCGTCGCATTCTCGTCGCCATGAATTTGCCATCCGCGCGATGGCTGCGACTATGATACACGCGCGCCCTGCGCCTGCGGCTGCCCGGGGATTCTCCGGGCCCAACCGAGCGCGCGACGCGACGAGACTCTTCATGTGGGAGCGCGTCATTGCGGGGCGTCGCTTCGGCGCGTTGAGGGGATGCGAAATTGCCCCAGCGGCTGCTCGAGCGGATTTATTCGACGCGGCGCCCGACTGAGGGGGCGCGCGCGCGGGGGGCCTTTTAGAATCGCGCCCGCGCGTCGACGCGCGCGCCCGCCCTGGGGGCGTCTAGGGGCGCTGGCGCGACTGCGTGAACGGAGCGGTGGCCCCCTACGTCGCAGCGGCAATTCGCGGGCCCGCGCTGGCAGCAACGCGCTTCGATATCTTGGGCGCGCAAGTTCGCGTGGCGCGAGAAACTCGGACGCGGGCGCGTCTCGCGCCCCAGCGGGGGCGCGGCGTCGGCGCGACCGCGCGAGGGGGGCGCCGCGCCGCGGCGGGGGCGCGCGCCGTCGCGCAAGAGACGCTGCGCCAGGCCGACGCAGCCCGCGATCGCACGGGAGACGCCGCGCCGCCGTTGCGACACGCGCCTCCTTGCCAGGGCGTTCGCGCCGCGACGGCGGCGCGCGCTCGCGCCCGCGGCCTTCGTCGCGCTGCGGAGGGGACGCGCGCGCGGCAGCGTCGGACATGCGCGCCGCGGCGGCGGGCGCTCGCCGCGCCTCTCGGGGGGGCGCCGTGGCCCAGTGGCAGCCCGCGGCTGAAGTCGCCGCGCGTCGCGAGGCCGCGCGTCTCGGGGCCCCGCGCGTCAAGTTGGATCGCGCGGCGGGGCGCGGCGAGGCCGATCGCGCGGGCGAGGCCGACGGGCGAAAGTTCGCGACCGTTCGAACCTTCCATTCGGCTAACGGGCGGCTGAGCCATTGATTGCGCCGCTCGGCTTCGCGCCGGCTTCGCGCGGGCTTCGGGGCTTGAGGTCGCTGGCCGCCGGGCCGCGCGATTGGCTGGCGGCGTCGTCTGCGAAACAGGTTTGCGCTCGGGGGCGCAGTGGCTGAAGTGGCGCGCGCTGAGTGCCTCCGCTCTCTGCTCGGCGAGCGAGCAGATGGCCGCTCGCGCCGCCGTGCAACTGCGCGACTTCGCCGTCGGCACCCCTGGCTCCCGGGCGGCGGGGGCTCCGCGCAACTCTGCCAATCGGCCTCTGGGCGCGCCGAATCGCGCGGCGGCGAGGCGCGGGAAGGGCCATCGGAGCTTTGCAAGCGAAGCGGGGTATGGGGCGCGGGCGGCGCAGGCGCGCAATTGTCGAATTTCTGCTCGCGCATGCAGTGCGCGCGAGGCTCTTACAAGGCGCGCGGCATCCTCGCCGCCGGGCCTCTGGGCCCGCCCCCCGTGTCCAGGCGCGCCAGCCTTTGCGCCGCGACGCCGCGTCGCGGTCGGATCGG